ACATATGTAACAACTCGTGCTGCACAAAAAAGTCCATCAGCACTTTTCTGTAAACCCAACTGGAAATCCACCATGTTGGACAAACGGCGAGTATGTCGGGCCATTTTCGCTGAAAAATGGCCATTTTCAAAATCAAACTCCTCCATCATACATACCTGAAATTTGGCCAGCACAAACTTCAGGAGGTGGTGATTAAAAGTTATCAAAAACGCTCTGCAGATGAGGCCCGGTTTGGAAATGGCGGCCCATCCAATTTCGATCAATGGCCATTTTGTCCATTTTTGCTGTGTTTTTGCAATTCAACGGAGTCCTGTCGAAAGACCGTTTCACCTACAGCTACAAGATTCGGTGGGCATGTGTAGCAGATCAGGACGCACAAAAAAGTCAATCAGCGCCAAGCCGTAAACCCAACAAGAAGTCCGTTATTTTGAAAAAACTAGGTGACACTTTTGCCGATTGTGCCTGACTTTTGGACATTTTTGGCCATTTTCAAAATCTATCTCCTCCTACAGGGAAGGTCGTACACACCTAAAAGTTGGCCAGCACAAACTACAGGAGGTGGTGATTAAAAGTTAGCAAAACGGTCTTCAAAAATCTGACAGCGTGGAAATGGCACCCCTTCTGAATTTGGCCACGCCATAAAACGGCAGAATACAAGACGTGCTGTGCTCCTATCAGCCTCAAACTTTACACGCATGCTCCAAGTCTCAGCCAGCACATATTTCCACCACGGTCAACACGCACGCCGCCGCACCTCGCCACTAAACAGGAAGTGGCTCGTAACTAGGCCGCACGTGCTCTGAACTGCATGAAACTCCACAGGCCGGATCACAGTCCCACCCAGAGCACCTTTGCGTCACACCCTGACGTGCGCGACGGCCGACAAGCGTAGGCCGAGGACCTGTCCAACGCCGCTTGCGGCTTTAATTTATAATTCATATAGTAGACCTTGTCAAACTTCCGCTTTTTGTTAACCTTGTGCTGCTATTAAGTTTTGTTTTACTCAACCATAGCAGAGTACTGTAGTAGTACTAATAATTTGTCAAACAAAGATCATAGAGCAAGAGGACATATCTGAGAGCAGAAGTGGGCAGAAGCAATGTCAGTGTGTGAACATACTGAACCCAAAGCACAGGACATTTGGGCAGAAACAGAAAATCTGAGAACAGACCAATAGTTTTGAGCATAAGCACAGCAGATTTGTACTTGAGCAGGGGTATTGGAGAGAGAGGATAGGGTTTTGAGGGAAAGTATCGTGAAATAATGAATTAGATTAGATCAGGGGTGTCAAACTGCGGTCCTCGAGGGCCGCAATCCTGCATGTTTTAGATGTTTCCCTCTTCCAACACACTTGATTCAAATGATCAGCTCATCATCAAGCTCTGCAGAAGTCTGATAACGATCCTGATCATGTGAATCAGGTGTGTTGGAAGAGGGAAACATCTAAAACATGCAGGATTGCGGCCCTCGAGGACCGGATGTCGACACCCCTGGATTAGATTGAAGAACTGATATTCTCATATTGAGAGATCACATTCCTGACTGAAGATAGGAAAGTAATTCAAATGATTAGCTGACCATAAGCAGGAAGAGGCTGCTATACAACCTGCTATCATCATGTACTTACTACTCGTGTTTACTGCCTCATCTGACTCGTTTGTTTTCATGCTTCCTTGTTTGCTACTAGATCTCAGCAATGACTTTACAGTTTCATCATAATTTATGGAATCTATGTCTAAAGCTATGAAACGAAGACACATTTTTTTGTAAGCAGTAATGATCTTTTAAAGCTGTCGTTGGTCCAGCTGTTGGCAGTAGACTGTTAATCTTCTATGTTTGTCTTCATAGTGAGCATAGAGTCCCAATGTCTTCAGGAGGAGTTGGTTCTGTCACCAGGTTCGACCGTGTACGGGAGATCCCACACTATGACCAGGTCCCTGTGGGCTCCCAATGGCGTGACCCAGAATTTCCTCCACCCCCACCACTCTCACATGGGACAATGCCGACGGTCAGCTTAGACCCCCTCCCACCTCCTCCTCTTCCTGAACAGCCTGCTGTTGGGCCTGAATTCTTCAACCCCTCCAGCGATGATGAGCCAATGGAGGGTGACTGTGATGCCATGGACATTAAGCCAGTCCACCGCTTCATCCCTGACTCTGTCAAGAACTTCTTCCGTGGCAGCAGCGGTAACCGTGGCAGCAAGGGATGGTCCGTCCCTCCTCCTCCCCTACCTCTCCCTTCTCCTCACTCCCCAGCCTCCTCAACCAGGAAGAGCGCCAACTGCCACACCTCGGCAGGAATCCCCTGCTCACCTCCCCACTCTGCCCCTCCATCCCCATCCCTTCCCGGCTCTTATCGGGGCCTCCATGGCAGCTCTGGAGGGGGCTACACCTCTCAGAGAGAGCAGGACCAACTGCTGCTAGGTGCCGAAGCTCTTGAATCTGCATCTGCAGTGCCCACCAATGTCTCGATTCAGACCTACCAGGAGCGGGTAGAAGAGTACCACCAGCGATATGCCTACATGAAGTCCTGGGCAGGCCTGCTTAGGATCCTGGGTTGTGTGCAGCTGCTGCTTGGAGCTGCTGTGTTCGCCTGCGTCTGTGCATATGTTCATAAGGACAACGAGTGGTTCAATATGTATGGATACTCACAACCACAACTGTTTGGAGGGCTTGGTGGAGGTGCTGGTGCATTTGGATATGGGGACAGTTACTACACAGGCCCCAAGACACCTTTTGTCCTGGTGGTGGCTGGTCTTGCATGGATAGTTACTGTTATTCTGGTTGTTCTCGGAATGACTCTATACTATAGAGCTATTCTTCTAGACTCCTCGTGGTGGCCCCTCACAGAGTGTTCCATTAATCTGGTGTTGGCTGTGCTCTATTTAGCAGCAGGAATAGTGTACGTGAGGGACACAACTCGAGGAGGCCTATGCAACATACCTGTCTTCAATAATGGAGTAAATGGTGCATTTTGTCGCACTGAGGCTGGCCAGACAGCAGCTATCGTCTTCCTCTTCATCACCATGGTGCTCTACTTTATTAGTGCAGCAGTGTGTCTGAAGCTGTGGAGGCATGAAGCAGCCAGAATGAGGAAGGAGGGCCTGGCACTGGAGGTCTGACACACACAAACACACACACACACACACACACGTTTTGTTTTCTACAGTTGTGACAACTTTTTTGGTGTAATGCATTGGCTTGCTCTGAACCCTAAATGAACCATCACAACTAAATGCCTATCTCCAACCCTTAGTTCTGGTGTCCACAGAATCCATCTGCTTAGAATGGCAGTGGATCACCTCTGACAGTCATGACGGAGCTGAGACACAATGCTGCCTAATGCTGTTTATGTTGGACATAATTTCATGATATAACTATTTAAACCCAACATACAGTTATAAATATGTCAAAAAGTTTGCTGTTGTGTCTAAATGCAAAAAATTTAGACCTGCAAGTGCTTTTAAGGCATATAAGATTTGTGACTTTGTTTGTTGTGACTGCTTAACTCCATGTGTGATCTCTATGTACATCATTCATTCTAGTAGATTTTCCTACATACAAACTTCAGGGGAAAGTTGAACCTTTTGCTTGTTATTTGGCAGCAGGTTGTACCAGGTGTTCTACCAGGAGATGTGTACTGTCTGTACAAATTGATAAAATGTCTGCCCAGGTCAAACCACTCTCACTGGAACCAGATCACAATAGTGTATGGTTATATATGTCTGTTCCACATTTTATAAACGTATATGTAGGTATTCCCCTTTTTTTTTGAAAGAGCATTCTCAGGGCCATTTAGCCATAATGTATTAAATGTGAAACTAAAGTATAATGACCAGTAGTAGATGGTTTATATCGTTCAAAAACGCTGGAGAAGATCATTAAAAGGCGACTGAATTGTTTTCTGACTTTGAAAACAGTGAACATCTAATAAATTACTTGTCATCTCTTTATTCTGCCACAATAAACCTAGATGAAAACCATTGGATCATCAGTCCCATTGTCTGTAGTAAGTATCAAGGATTGTCTTTTTAATGACTTTCTAACTTTGAACTATAATCCAGCCGACACTTAATTTCACACAGTGTATGTGAATTGAACACCCCTCTTTGTGTACTGCAGCTGGGCTCAGCCTCCAGGGCCTCAGAGCAGACTCCTCTCCCTACCATCCAGCCAGACATCATGGACACTATGCACAATCCGGCAGCTGCTCCGCTGATGCTGCTGGAACCAGAGATACTTCGAGGTCACATACCAGCCGGACACATCCCCAAACCTGTTGTTATCGCTGACTATGTGCCGTGAGTGTTACCGTCTTGATCACATTTTTCAAATGTTTATTGCTGTGTCCAGACACCTTTTGCCGTGAGATTCAAGTTTAGCCGAACAAATATGTAAATTTCATATGCATGATTAAAGTTGCAGTCCCTGTTTTTGTTTTAGTGGGCCAAAGCCTTTCTGTGTTAACAGAAATAAAACTTGAATTCAGTCAAAAATTAAAGGGGCTTTATTAGCATGAAAGCTTCAAGAAACAATGTCCAAAGCATCGAAATACAATTTGTCCAAATATTTGCGCGGTGCACAATGGGATCAAAAATAATCCATCCATCTATACATCACTTTATCCTCTGTAGGGTTGTGGGAGGCAGAGTCTATCCCAGCTGACTCAGGGTGAAAGCATGTTCACCTGGACAGGTAACCAGTCTATCTCAGGGCTACGCAGAGAGACAGATAAGCACACTCACATTTACACCTAAGGACAATTTAGAATCACCAATTAACCTCAACATGTTTTTGGACTGTGGGAGGAAGCTGGAGAACCTGGAGAGAACCCACACTGCACAGGGAACACATGCAAACTCCACGCAGAAAGATCCCAGGCTGAGATTCAAACCAGCCAGCTGTGAGGCAACAGTGACCCCTGCTTCACTGTGCTGCCCAGCCAAATAAATATTCTGATTAATAATTATTAATTATACATGTATAGTATATTGTATGCATGTGTGGGTGTGCTGTTTGTGTCTTGGACATTTTCTGTCCCTCATGTAGTTGAATGTTGATACCTAAAAGGGGGAGCTAGATACACCATCTCCTTCTTCTAGTAGATTTTTAAAATTTATTTGAGAGGTCATTTATTTATTTGTAAGGTCTTCACCTCACGCTGTGAGATGCTGTCAGATGACATGCTGTAAATTTGCGCCATATAAATATAATTCAATTGAATTGAATTTAGATTTTTGAAATCTGAATTTGTTGATCTTTGTTTCAATGTGAGATGGGATAGGCTCATGCTCCCCACAACCCTCTACAAGATAAAGCAGGTACAGCAAATGGATGGGTGGATGTTAATGTGGCGTATATAGCCAGTGTTATGCTTGAACTAGGCTTGGTTAATTCAAAACTGTCTTAATCTGGCAAGATTACAATCCATGCCTAAGAGATGTTTTTCAAAAACCTGTTTTTAAAAGGGGCTGCAAGGTGGCTTGGTGGTTAGCACCGTTGCCTCACAGCAAGAAGGTCGGCGGTTTGCGTCTCAGTGAGGACACCTGGGATCTTTCTGTGTGGGTTCTCCGGCTTCCTCCCACACAGTCCAAAAACATGTTGAGGTTAATTGATGATTCTAAATTATCCTTAGGTGTGAATGTGAGTGTGCTTGGTTGTCTGTCTCTAAATGTAGCCCTGAGATAGGGTGAAGGCAGGGGACACCCTGGACAAGTAACCAGTCTGAGTCAGCTGGGACTCCCCCGCAACCCTAGTGAGGATTAAGCGGTGTATAGATAATGGATGGATGGATGCTTTTAAAGTTTCGTCTAAATCTGCTCTAGGCCCGTAAATGAATAGATTCATAATTTCAGTTGAACCAATGGTCAGGTGCCCATACATGCGGCTCAGCAGTGACTGTGAAAGATACCACTTTGAGCTTTCTAACTCAGACTGCTGAAGCCTTATATTTACTTTAGATAAACTTGGAAAAAGCATTTTTGCATTGAATATAACTTGATTTTGCCACTCATCGCCTATGTTAGAAGAATATATTTTAGTGACCAGTGTGAGCAGGAAGAATGATTACTTTTAATATACTAGTGCATATGGACACCCAACATTTGTTGTAAAACGGTATTGAAAACATTTAAAACTGTCTTATAATCATTTTCACATTAAACTCCACAGTGTACTTTGCAGTAATCTGGCCAGTAGTTGTGCTAGATCAGGGGTCGGCAACCCGCGGCTCCGGAGCCACATGCGGCTCTTTTATCCCTCTGCTGCGGCTCCTTGTGGCTTTGGAAAAAAAATAATGAGTATTTTAATTTAAATGTATTAGCTCGTTAGTTTTTAAAGTGTAATTCTAAATTTGAATATTTTTGTGAATTTGCAACATTAAAATAAAACGTGTTTAATTTTTTTGTTGCTCAAAATATGCGTCATAACCGCTGATGTGTGACACCCACCGGCATGCACAGTGGTGCCACCTTGATGACGTTCTCGCTAAATCTGGCAACTTTCCAAATCCTGTTGGCGATTTTTTATTTATTTATTTATTTATTTGTCAAAAATGACTAGCGATAAATCTAGCGATTCTTTCTGGTGTAACTGGAGACTTTTCTGGTGTTTTGGAAACTCTGACATGAAAACACGTATTGTTGAGCCATTCCTGTCCTCAGCGAGCAGCGGTGCTGCCATGAGCTCCTCCCGTTCCAAAGCGCTCACAGTCGATCAGCAGTATGGAGCAGAAGTCCCAGCTGCAGTCAGCAGGACAACCAGATGTCGTTTTTACTTTGCTGCAGGTGGATAATTTAAGATCGGCTTTTTATTTCATAAATACAAGGAGGATTCAAATAGATATTTAGCTTTTTTTTTTTTTAAAGTAACCTTCAACCCATCATCTTTTTTTTTTTTTTTTTTGGGTTCAAAATGTTTTTGTTGCACAAATAAAATTTTGTTTTCTCTGTAGCAGGTCATTGATTTCATAAATGCAACACACTATAGTATTTTTTTATACATAGCATAAAGGTAAAAACGATGCAGTGTTATCTTCATTTTAGATGTCAAAAGGGTTTTGCGGCTCCCAGTGTTTTTTTTCCATGGGAAATGGGTCCAAATGACTCTTTGAGTGTTTAAGGTTGCCGACCCCTGTGCTAGATGGACGGATTGATGTTGTCAGCTTTAGGTCCTGCTGCTACAGAACAAAGACACATTTAGCTGCTTCGTGAGTGCAGCCAGTGGCCCAAGAAAGAGTGTCTACTGTCCTGTTCTCACAGGAAGTACCCCAGCATTCGCTCAGACGAGGAGAGGGACCAGTACAAGGCTGTGTTCAATGACCAGTATGCTGAGTACAAGGAGCTGCATGCAGAGGTCCAGGCCATGGCCAAGAAGTTTGAAGAGATGGATGAGATGATGCAGAACCTTCCTACCCGGCCCTCCAGCCAACTGGTAAAACTCTTACTCAGCTCCACACTAACACACGTATGCACACATGCACACACTCTGAAATCTTCTTGGATCCTTACTGTGTAGCTCTGTCTAGTAACAGCCTCATTTTGTTTCAGGAGAAAGAGCGGATCAGTACTATTTTAATGGAATACCAGAGGAAGAAATCTGTAAGTATTCTTTATGAAACTGGATTTATAATCATAATTCATAATCCTGTCACTCACTGGGTGGCTGTTTGTTGTCTGTCTAAAGTTAAAAAAAAAAAAGGTTTCTATAAAGCATTTTGCATCCGTTGACGTCCTTGTGCAGCAAAAATATTGATTAACAGAAAATATTAGCTGCCAAGAAATTTCATTTAATCATGCCTGCAGTAAAGGTCTACTCCAGTGATCCAGTGAGAAAAAGTAATTATTCCAAGAATAGATCAAATCCTTTTCTTTTCTTTTCTTTTTTTATCAGGTTTTTGAATTTGAAAAAAAAAAAAAATCGCTACTGCTTTTATTTTATTTTACTTTTTTATTATTATTATTTATAGGTAACTCTTTCTTTCTGTGTTTTTGTATTATTTTATTAGGAAGATGCAGCAAAAATAACTAGTACAAAATTAGAAAGTGCAGGGTGTGCTAAGAACTGAAACCCAGCTCTTCGCACAGTATTTGTCACAGTCTCCTCTCCTCACTCAGCTCCTCTCTTCTCTGCTCTCTGTCTCTGAGTTGAGTTGAGGAGAATTTTTGTTGTCCATAGGTGCAACAGAATGTCAGTAATGGAGACAGTAATGTACCTTAACGCCTAACACCTCAGCCATGCAGTCAGTTAAATAAACAGATACAAACGGTAGCTTTGTCTGGGAACCCTAATGTAAAGTAGAACATTTGGGCGCACAATTGGCAGGATTTATTGCATAACTGCCGACATGAGATGGATGACAGGATCAGTCTCTGCCATTGTCACTTTTGCAGTATTATACTAAAGTTTTGTTTTTTTATTTCTAATTGATATTAAACATATATTAAGCAATCTTTAATGGTTGAATGATGCTTGAATGATATAGTCACCACTGTGCCATCTTAACAAAAGTGTTTACAGTGAAAGTTTAAGCTTATCAGGTCATTCTTTCCCAGTTGCATCAACCAAAACCAGACTGCAGTACTAAAGTATTTGAGTTAAGAAACCAATGAGTCACACTTGGAAAATGTAACCATGTTGCCATCAACTTCACGAAACTAATAAAGACTTGGTTGTTTATTCTCTGTGTGCATTCAGAGGGGAAGTAGAATGTACCACAGCCGACACTATCAGATAGGCTGCTGTCCCTCTCTACCTGTACTCTCTGTGGGTAACTGTAAATAAACTGGATTGTGAAATTAGTACAGCACCTTTCTTGCTTTACTAAATACTCAATGTAGCAAATCATTTAGAGACAGACGTATATAAAATAAACTTATGACCATTGTACATTTACTCTTTATTAAGAAGTAGTACTTAGCCTGCGAAAGAGGTACTATGTTGTCATCTGTGACTTTGGAATATCTGAAACAATAACCTTGGTCATGTCATCAGGCTATGTTCTCTTGGATTGGAAGACTACAGATTCACGACAGTATATTGCAAACAGCTACTGTTGAGTTTGCCAGAAAGGATGGGTTGTTGAGAAAGATGCTATGGTAATTGTAGGATTCAGTGGTTTCGATTCTTGACACCGTATTAGGAACCAAGTATCAGGTTCTTGATTTGTCTTTTTTCTTTTTTATTATGTCTCAATTCCCCCATCGGAGTTTGATTCTACATTACTTTCTTTTCTATAATTAAGCTGGAGTTTTCCCATTACTCAAAAACTTCTGTCTGCCTAGTTAATATTTGTATGACAAACTTAACTATGTGAAGAAGCGTAGCCTATTTTATGTGTCAGTGCACAGCAACCTTTTGGTTAAATTCTTGATAATGTCTGTTAACAGGGAGGATGTTACTGATATATTGAAATTTCACTAAGAATTTATGTCATTTATTTCTGTTAATGTTTTGTGTTCGGTTCTGTTCTGTTGTTCTTGTCAGGACCCAGCATATTTGGAAAAAAGGGAGAGGTGTGAGTACCTAAAAAATAAGCTCTCTCACATCAAACTGAAGATTCAGGAGTACAACAAAATCATGGACTAGAATGCTAGCAACTAAATATTGCAGTCAACATATCTTTGATCCATGCTGCAGTCCGCAACTGAGAATACATGCTTTGTTGCACAAAGGACGATAGTGGGACTGAGGTGGGACTTGAACACAAATATGTCTCTTCCAGGTGAAACAGCACTCAATATTGGCAAACCCAGAATGACTTATCATAAATGTGCCATAATCACAAAACAGACAGAAATTACTGCCTGTGCTAATGCCACGATGACAGACAGAAAGTCATTGTCTAAGGTAGGAACATTATCAGTGATGATTGTCGTCATGGAGAACAGTAACAGGCAAAGAAAAAGTAAGCTTCATCAAAAAATGGAATGGAGGGTGCCGCTATAGCTCATCTGGTTGAGCTGGTGACCCCAAAGAAAAAGTAAGCTTCATCAAAAAATGGAATGGAGGGTGCCGCTATAGCTCATCTGGTTGAGCTGGTGAACCATGTCAGGAGTTGGAGTCCCCGATGCAGCAGCCATGGGTTCGAATCCCGCTCACGGGCCTTTGCTGCAACCGCTTCCCCCCACTTTCCTGTCTCTCTCTCTCAACTGTCCTGATTAATAAAGGCCAAAAAAAGTACCTTTAAAAAACTCAAATGGAATGGAGGTGTGATAAGATGATGTCAGTACATACATATAGCTGTTTCGATGTTTGCCATGGAGACTTTGATCCACTTTGTTTGGTCCCTGCATTTATTATGCAAAAAAAGTAAAACCTTTTTTTATCTGAGTGTGAGCGAGATGACCATCATGTGCCTGTTCCTTTTACAAAGAGACGTAAAGAGGATTTCACCATCACAGCTGGCTAGATGCTGCCTAGGCAGAATATTCCTATTAGGAGGCAGGTGGAAATAAGGCTGACTCAATGTTAAATGAGGACAGGATGACAAGTAAGATAGCACTGCAGCAAGTAGAGGTGTGTTTGCTAAGAGTGGATATACTGTACTTCTCTCTACTGTCTGTGTTATAATGTGCAGGTTCCTGCCAAAGTAATTACTGTACACTGTTGTTATTGGTTTTATACTAATTTATTCTGTCCACTAGGCTTTTGTCAAATTGTGAGGCATAGTTTAAACATTTTGTAAAAACTCTTGTCAGCAAAATGCATGAATTGTCTCTCATTTTGTTACTAAAGTCAAAATGCAGTCTATAACGTCTTATAAAGTTTGTAATGCTTACTGTTTTGCTCTGACACCTATGCTGGTTAAGTTGCTCTGTCACTGTTTTTCCCACTCACTGTTTCAGCTCAGCTGCTGTTCAAGCTCAGTTAATGGAAATGAACGATGGCAGCTAATGAAGTTTACACTGCTATGAAACTGTGACATTGAAACGGTATGTGTTCATGGTGGATGCTATTGTTATTTTAATGTATTTATCCTTAGTACAGCTAGAAATTAGTTGGTCATAGCAAATGGATATTTGTAACTAAGTGTTTCTCGTGATCAGTAGTAAATACCTGTGAACATGATCTAAATCATTTAATACCTGTGGTAGAGCTGCATTACCATTATTATAGAGCATTTTGATTTTCCAACATATTTACTACACTTGTCTCTTTTTGGAAAGTCAATGTTTTTGAGCTTCTTTTTATTCAAAAATGTATTTGAAAAGGTGCATTTACATTACAAGTAGTACTGGTAGAAGAGGTCAGGGATTATTCCATACATCCAGGAATCTGTACTGAGGGAGGTGTGGCTGCCATTCTGATGTCTGCTAAGTCATGTGGGAAATACTAACAAGAAAGGATTTTAGGGCCACTATATTATTCTTTCAACCTGGAATGTCAGATGTGGGTGAATTGGTTTGCACTTCAAGCTCCATTTCTAGCAACATGTCAATGAACATCTGGGTCACCCTTCTGAAATGGCTGCTGCTGGGACTGCTGGTGCTCATGGCGGACTGGTTTTTCTGGGTTGAGGTGTGCTGTATGTTTGCCCAGTATCAGGTTTTGCAACTCTGGAGGTGTTTTTTTGTTTTGTTTTGTTGTTGCTGGATCAGCATGACAGCCTTTCATGCCTCAGGTTACACAAGAGCAATACAAAAGGATAGTTCAGATGCAAATCAGTGAGGAGCCTGGGGTCTGACGTCCACAGAGGTTTAGATGAACAAGAATTTCTTACACTGAAGAATATGTTGACCTGTCCAACTGTTTTTGAATGTGGAATTGATGATACTGAAATTTAAACAAATGGAAAAGACATACCCTGAACTTCGACAATAAAACCAATTGACACATGAGCGCTGATATTTTGTCTGTGTTTTTTTATTTTATCACCATTTTGTCCATTAAAGTCCATTTTCTTGCTCCACAACTGAAACTGACTCCAGTCCTCCTCCAGCCTCCTCCTTGTGTTCACTATGAACACAGCGGGGACCAGACCGGTTGGTCCTGTCTAACACGGTGTGCAGATCACGTGACAGAACACACCTGTGAGCGTGTCTCTTCGTCTCCCAGAGCACGCGCACAGTTTTGTTGCCAGGTGTCGTCAGGTCGCTGCGGGGTTCGTCTGGTCCAGGTTGACACGCAAGGTGAGCCGATTTCACAGTCCTAATGAGCTGTAGTTGGAGATGTAGTGGTGAGGCAGGGTGGTACCTGGTGCATTCAGTTGAAGTCTGCTTTTCAATGTGACTGAAGTCCAGAAGTGGAGTGTTTTCCTTCTGAAAGCTCTCTGGACCCCAAAAAGAGCGACCCAGCAGCAGCAGCAGGCTCCCAGGACTCTGGTTTCACTCAACAGTTGTCAGCAACTTACTTTGAAGATGGACAGTTTCAGTTTATGCGCCAGCATACATATCTAAGCTCAGTCTGTTGTGTCACAAACAACTCTGAAGTTCAGGCAGCAGGCTGCCCTTTTCTGTTGGTTGAGAAGCAACAAGAGCTTTACTGAGGAAGGTCAGTATTTGAAGATTTACTTTAAATGAAGCAACCTGATCATCAGGCTACTAGTCTTCTTTCCTACTTCACAAATCATCATCATACCAACATAAGCACAGTGTTTTGCGTGTTTCATGTCTTTTTATGTCTCCCAGCAGCCACCAGTCTGTCTACCAGTCAGTGCTGCTCTCATATTGTCAGTCTGATTTTGTTGACAGTGTTATTTAGAGCATTTGCAGGGTTGGTTGTGTTTGTTAATAGTTGATAGTCTGGCTTCTTTTGCTAGAACTCAAAGTTTTGTAGAAAAAACATTTTTTGTAGTTGTCAAAGTATATAATTACAACAACTGTTATATTAGCGATTATACTTGTAATTTCAAATGGCACCCAGCCCTGCATTTTAGCACATAAATTCAAATACAATTCTAAGTGCTAATTTATGTAATTCAATCAGTTTCTCTAAAAGTTCACCTTCAAACAGCACATACATGAATGCAGGTGAGGTAGGACAACACATTCAACACACATGGCTACCTGATGTCTGGTAAATAAACAGAAAATTAGTGTCAGATGCCCATGAGCTGAGGGACAACAAAAGGCTGGCTGCTGGTATGTGACACCACAGCAAAGATGGTCAGTGTGTTTTCATGTGCAAGATCAGTCACTGTGTCTTTTCCCTTTGCATTTTAGTATGCCGAGCAACAAGCACAGCCACCCGTCACACCAGCCGAGTGGTAGCAAACAGTGAGTTGACCTACATTTATCCCTCACTCCTGCATTTTGTTCTGTAATGTATTGAGTGCGCTGATTTAAACAGTGTTAACTTCCAGACAGCATTGTGATTTTTTTCTGTGTACATACTTCTGTGGCTTTTTAAAGTTTGGAAAACATGCCTGTTTTGCCTCAGTCTCTCCAGATGCCTGCCTGTATCACCATATGAAAATATCAGTAAAATCCATAGAAATATTGTGGGATTTATAAATGACAGCAAAAGGGATTTGAGGTTAATAATTTATTTTAAAAAATCAACCAAAAATGATGTTTAACTGTGTCAACTCTCCAGCAAAAAAATTAAACAAAAAATACACACACTACACGGTGTGCCAAACAGCCCTGACCTACCTGGGTATGGACATGGACTTTTGGGGGTGTCCTGTAGTACCTGGCCCCATCCCATTGGATCCAAAGGTCCTCCATACATTTGGCGTGTTCAGGCGTAACCCATGGGTATTCAATCAAACTAAAATCTGGGGAGTTTGGAGGCCAGGTCACCACCTTGTGCTCCTTTTTCTTGTTTTTCAAGCCATTTTCTGAGCAGTTTTGTCAGTGTGGTGGGCCACTGGTGTCAGAGAGCAGTGTTACTATGATGCAGGTTGGGCATGCTTTGCAGCACTGTTTAGGTGGGCAGTATGCACATGAATGCCAGAACCCAAGGTTTCCCAGCAGAATGATATTTTCTAAGATGGTGATAAATGTCAGAGGTTTTAATGTTGTGGCTAACTGGTGTATATCTTGATGAATAGCTGCTGTTGAAAATGAATGCAGCTTTTGAAAAGTCCTTGCTGCAGTGAGGCTTGCGAGGCTTAATTTGCAAGTTTGTTGGCGACAAAATCCTGGTGACTATGGTGTATTGGTAGCCAAGATCCCATGTGAAAATATGGCAGCTTTTATTTATTATACTTTATTAGTATTTTTAGTTTTGACTCATTTGATTCAGTTTATCCGAAACTCTTTAAAAAGTCTGGAAATGAGTTAGTCAGTCAACAACATATTAATCTTCAACCTTTTTGATATTCGTTAATGACAAAATGACAAACATTTGTCCTACAAATTTGAAGTCAGCTCCTTTGGCCTCTAAGAAATGAAGATGGACATTTTTGTGATATTTTGTACACTGTGTCTCTGTGGACAGAAAAAATGAGAGCCATCAGATGAGCGCAACCTCATAAAAACTCACCAACTCTGCTGTTTTCAGAGCTGTGGACAGTATACCGTTATTCTCTTTTGTCTAGTGTAGCTGAATGACCATGTCTCAAATGTAGGCACTGACCACAGCTTCTTTTTCTTATTCTGTTGCAGCCACAGCAGCAGACACAGGCACAGTGAGCTCATGTCCAACCCAGCCTTTTCCTACTATCCAGGAGAAAAGATGCTTCACTTCTATCGCTGGACATCGCCACCGGGTGTGATGAAGATATTATGCATCATCATCATCGTCATGTGTGTGGCTGTGTTTGCGTGTGTTGCCTCCACCCTGGCTTGGGACTACGATATGAGCCTCTTGGGTCTGGGAGGTGGAACCGGCTTGTTGCCAGGTGGCTCATATGGCGGCTCATTTGGTGGCTCATATGGCGGCTCGTATGGCGGCTCATTTGGTGGCTCGTATGGCGGTGGTGTAGGCAGCAGTGGTTCCTATGGCTATGGAACACAAATGGATCCCAAAGCTGGCAAAGGCTTTATTATTGCCATAGCTGCCATTACCTTCATAGCTGTGCTCATCATATTTGTCTTGGTTGTGTCCAGGCAAAATGCTGCCCGCTCATCAAAGTTCTACCTAGCAACCATCATTATCTGCGCTATCTTGGCATTTCTGATGATCATTGCCACTATTGTGTATCTGGTGGCTGTGAACCCAACAGCCCAGTCCACAGGATCTGTCTATTACAACCAAGTCCGCCAGCTGTGTGCCCAGTACCAGACTCAGACCCAGGCCCAGGGCATCTTCCTCAACCAGTACCTCTACCATTACTGTGTGGTGGAGCCCCAAGAGGTGTGTTGCATTTGTCTTTTTCTTGTCATTTATTTCATTATGACCTAAAAACCAACTTGACAGAATACTTGTAACTTTATGGAGGACCTGTAGGTAATCCACTACATGATACATGCCTGTAGCTGCCAAAACAATCACTGTGATGGATAAATAGGACGAGTGCTTACATGGACTTAAGTAACTAACTGAATTCAGAAAATATTAAAAAGCTACTTTCCCTGTCTACTTTCTTTTGCCATGAACATGCACACTTATATAAGCATAACTGCACATTATAAGGATTTTTATTAGTTTATATGAAGAAATTCACTTCCTAAAGAAAGCTGATAAACCTAGTTACTTACATGAACATAAAGTAAAATTGCCATGTCAAATGACTAATTTCTTTTGCTCTAAGCACTTGGTGCAATACCTCTTTTGAGTGTTTGGGAAATTCTGGAGAAATGACAATGTGGCGTGTATAGTCGTCCTCAAATTTATTCATACCCTTCTTTTAAAGAAAAGGCAAAATTCACAATAGTCACTCAAATAACTAGAAACTGAAAAAAAGTAATAAGAAATTTTTTAAAAGAAAAGCTAAATTATAATTTAGTGGAATAAGACACTGCTTTTGAATTGTGGTTGAAAAGAATAATTAAAATAATAATAATAATAATAATAATAATTGTCCCAGACAAATTAGAGCACTTTGCTGATGAGAAGTGGTCCATAATCAAAATACCTGTCACAGGTGCAGAAGCCTGATTGAGAGTTACAGAAAACACTTGATTGCAGTGATTGCCTCAAAGGGTTGTTCAACAAAATATTAGTTTACGGGTCCCATCATGCTTGGTTGTGTGTTTTTTTGTTTGTTTGTTTTTGTTTTTGTTTGTTGTTTTAATATTTCTTTTGACCACAATTCAAAAGCAATGTCATGATTTTCATGAAATTTTTGTTTATTAATACTTTTGTCAATTTCAGCTTATTTCAGTCACAGCTGTTTTATTCCTTCTTTAATAGGAGGGTATGAATACATTTGAGGACGACTGTAGCAGTAGATTCTTACATCAACTTTTCTGTTCGCTCAGACCTAGTTTTCATGAGTGTCAGTCTTGTGTTACCTCCCATCTCCAGGCCTCCCTTTTACTTATTTATCCATGTTACTGAATTTAATTTCAGCTCACTGATGTTCTGTGGTTCTTGCAGGCCATAGCTATCGTACTGGGCTTTTTGGTGTTTGTTGCCCTCATCATCCTGCTGGTGTTTGCAGTCAAGACTCGCTCAAAGATCAGGCGCTGGGGCGAGGACCGCATTCTCTGGGAGGAAGTAAAGGTGGTCAATACTGGTCTCCACAACAGTATTGGGGAATGGGTGAGTCTGTATGTGACTGTGTTTGTAGGTCAGCATGTGAACAACATGTTTGCCTAACAGCAAAAGCCTAAGTCAGGTAAATCTAATTTTATTCAGTGAACTAAGAATAAAATAAGGACATTAGGCCAGTTCAACAAACTAAGAATTCTAGTTAAAAATGTTTTAAAACTCAGTGAACTAAATGGTAAATGATAAATGATCTGCACTTATATAGCACTTTTCTACCTTAGCTGTACTCAAAGCACTTTACAAAACTAACCAAGGCCACCACAAAACTAAAGCAGACATTACTTTAAAACACATGTACTTTGTAAGTGTTTTGTACTGTGCTGTACTTTTTGAGGGGCATAGTATGCCCAATGTCCGTCAGTCTGTCTGTGAGTTGGAGACATGGGGCAGGGCTGGATGGTTTCGTTTGCAGTTTCTGGGTGTGGTCTGTTTAGCCACTCTGTGCTGTGCTGGCAGGATGATGGGTTCTAAAAATAAATGATACTAGAACTATCTGAATATACAGCAGTTAAACAACACTTATAAATCCTGATTATTGGATGTCCAAAATAACTACATTTCCAGTAACAACACTGTCATAGTTTGCTGTCTGACGGCAGTGGCACAAATTAAAGTGTTTACCTGAAGACTACTTCCATAGTCGCGTAGCTTTCAATTCAAGTGTGTAAACTTTCCCAGCAGTCTGCTTTCAAACCTGATATTTCAGCAGTTGTACTGGCTAAGAGATACTCTCTCAGACTTCCTGCTGATGGTAGTGACAGTATCGGTGGAATTCAGGCATGCAGGAAAAAGTAGAGGAACCGGTTGGTCCTGGTGAATGGCTCACACAAGCAGTGTTCCTCATATAGAGAGTAGCTTCAACTGAAACAGGTATGAAAGGAGTCTCAGATAAACCTGACTGAAACCTGAGGCAAGCAAACTTTTGTAGGAGGAAAAAATAGATTTTAAAAAATGTACAATGACTGGCATAAAGGGGGAAAAAAAAACATTATAGGTTTCTTAGTGTGTTAATACAGTTACTATGATTTTATTGCAAGGAAATAATGGTAAAAAGTCAAGCAATATAAGTTACTCACCAGCCTAACCTTATTGTCCTTAGAGAGGAACACTAGAGATCTAGTATTAAACTTTCATAAAGTTATGTGACTTCTTAGATACATTTAAAAATGGGAGAGGTAAGCATTGAACCAGTTGATACCAAAATATCTTTATTTTTAGTCTTTAGTATCACACAAGATTCAGAAATGTTGGTTCCTGCACTTTCCACAATACAGCTGAATAGTTAGCTCAATTTGACTTGACCTGAATGCTTACCTTTTTCTTTTTCAGAATTTGTGATGCAGGTTGTTTTGTCATGCAGCTGCTGTTCCCTGGCCTTAGATTAAATTACCCGGATGTCATCATCAGGTTTTTTGTTACACAAGAACAACGACTTTAACTAACATAATCTCCTTTCCTATATGCTCTTTTCTCCACCACATTTGATGTATTTTTTGCCTACTTTGTAAAGCACATCTTTGAGTGTCTTGAAAAGCACAATATTATGTATTATTTAGTGGTGGGAAGTGATCAAAAAAAAAAACTCGTTAATTAGAGGCTTTGTAATTAATTAATCTCAATTAACTGCATTTTTATCAAAAAGCAATATCTGACACAATAAACAAGTTTTTTAATTCAACTACATTTTGGTTGATGACTGAATCAATGAATGGACGTGTACTTAAACAACAAACAACAACAAGTGAACTTAAACAACAAAAATGCTGATTTTTAAAAATCTATATTTATCTGCATTTTTTTATTTGTCTACTATGTTCACAGATTAGTGCAAACTCAAAGTGCAGTTATAGCGATTATATTCAAAATTTCAAGACTTTTTGTCTTAAAACTCCTTGTTGTACAGTTTGCACACCACCATGCTCTTATCCAAGCTGCCTCACGCTACGTGTCCACAGGATCTGTCAGTTTCTCGTTTCCCACTCATTGTGTAGTGAAATATGTTCTGGAATATCACGTGGAGTTTCAAGCGATGAGGCATCATAGCGTTGTCCGTGTGCTCATTGCCCCTGTGGACGCTGAGCATCAGGCCTCAATAAGGCAAAACCTTTCTGCCCAACAAGCCAAGCCATGTGTCTTGTCTTCATCACTGTTCCAAACGTTCTTGTGCGCTGACGTCAACCGGTGCATCCTGAGCATCTTTGTCACGGGTGGCAAATGAACTTTAGGTGCATTAGCACCACCTACAGGCTGAAGTGTGTGCATCAGTGTTACTGGTGTGACAGAAATTAGGGAACTGAGAAAGGTGCGATGAAATGCGTTAATTGTTTCAACATGTTATTTTTTTCTGTAATTGATTAATCTAAATTATTGCATTAAAGTCCCAGCCTTAATGTTATTATTTTTACATTGATCTTGTATAAGTGTTTCTGAACCCTAACCCTTAAAAATGTATGTAGTATCATCATATATCTTTAACTTTATCTAACTATAAAAAATTAACTTTGTTAATTATACTCAGGATCACAAAAAATGATCTTCAGATTTAAATACACAGTAATTCAACCTCTAATGAGAATGTACAAAGCCTTTTTCTCTCACTGTCTGACATTAAATGTGACTAAACTTATCCTGTTTAAGGTCAGTTAGGATTACCAAAATTATTTCTATTTGTTAAATATTCGAAAAATCCATCCATCCATCATCTATACACCGCTTAATCCTTACTAGGGTCGCGGGGGGGCTGGAGCCTATCCCAGCCGACTTAGGGCGAAGGCAGGGGACACCCTGGACAGGTCACCAGTCTATATTAGAATAATGAGAGAGGGAATTTTTTATTACTTTCTTCAAAGTCAGAAGTTTACATACATTAAGATTATTATGCCTTCAAACTATTAGGGAAAGCCCAGATGATGATGTCATGGCTTTGGAAGCTTTTAATAGCTTAATTGACAACATTTGAGTTAACTGGAGGCACACTTGTGGATGTATTTTAAGGCACCCCTCAAACACACTGCTTCCTTTTGTGACAACATGGAAAAATCTAAAGAAATTAGCCAAGACATCAGAAAGAGAATTGTAGAGCTCCACAAGTCTGGTTCATCCTTGGGTACAATATCCAAATGCCTGAAGGTTCCACGTACATCTGTTCAAACAACTATATACAAGTATAAACACCATGAGAATGTCCAGCCATCATACCACTCAGGAAGGAGATGGGTTCTGTGTCCAGAGATGAAATATTTTGGTGAGAAATGTGTGTATTAACCCCAGAACAAAAGCTAAAGACCTTATGAAGATGCTGCTGAAGCTGGTAAGAGAGTGTCATTATCCACAGTGAAACTAGTCCTGTACAGACATGGGCTGAAAGGCTACTCAGAGAAGAAGTTATAGAAGAAAGAAGTTACATTACTCCAAAAGCAACATAAAAAAGACAGAATACAGTTTGTTAATGCACACAGGGACAAAGACCTTCATTTTTGGAGACATGTCCTGTGGTCTGATGAAACTAAAACTGAACTGTTTGGCCATAATGACCATTGTCACATTTGGAGGAAAAAGGTGGAAGCTTGCGAGCCTGAGAACACCATCCCAACTGTGAAGTACAAAGGTGGCAGAATCATGTTGTGGGGGTGTTTTGCTCCAAGAGGGACTGGTGCACTTCACAAAATAGATGGAATCATGAGGAAAGAACATTATGTGGAAATATTGAAGCAACATCTCAAGACATCAGCCAGGAAGTTAAAGCTTGGGCCCAAATGGGTCTTCTAAATGGACAATGACCCAAAGCATACCGCCAGATTAGTTACAAAGAGGCTTCAGGACAACAAAGTCAATGTTTTGGAGTGGCCATCACAAAGCCCTGATCTCAATCCTGTAGAACATTTGTGGGCAGAGCTGAAAAGGTGTGTAGAGCAAGGCGGCCAACAAACCTGACTCAGTTCCACAAGTTCTGTCAGGAGGAATGGGCCAGAATTCATCAAACTATTGTGAGAAGCTTGTGGAAGGAAACGCAAAATGTTTGACCCAAGTCATACAGTTTAAAGGCAATGCTACCAAATACTAAGGAGATGTATGTAAACTTCTGAATAGAACAAATAGAAATAATTTTGGTAATCCTTACTGATCTAAAACAGGAAAGTTTAGTCTGATTTAATGTCAGTGAGAAAAAAAAGGTTGTGTCTTTTTATACAGTGGGTGTAAACTTCTGGTTTCAACTGTATGATTTTGTTTTTTGCTGCAGGTAAACAATGTGTCTGGCGGACCAGAGGTGCTTGTTAGTGACCACAATGATAAAGTTGGGAAGTCTAGGGACTATTTGGACCAGCTGGACCACAGCAAACCCCTTTACCTACCAGGGTAAGTTGTGCATCGTATCGTGTAACTTTGTTTTGTCATTTTTGGTATATTTGCACTGCCCAGCCAGTGCTAAGTTACTCTTGACAAATATCTAACTAACCTTGCAATGGGCAAGCTAACTGTCAGGCTAAACCTGAGCTGTTGCTTAAGCAGAGGTCCTCTAATACTGACCTGATGGTAAAGATTTTACAACTCACTCTCTCCTACATATACGTTCAATTCCATCCATCCATCCATCCATCCATTTTCTTCCGCTTATCCGGGGTCAGGTCACGGAGGCAGCAGGTGGAGCAGGTCATTCCAGACTTTCCTGCCCCCGGTGACGCTTTCCAGCCGAGAGATATAATCCCTCTAGCGGGTTCTGGGTCTGCCCCGGGGTCTCCTCCCAGGTGGACATGTTTGGAAAACCTCCAGAATCAGATGTTCAAACCACCTCAACTGGCTCCTTTCAACGCAAAGGAGTAACGCCTCTACTCCGAGCTCCCTCCAGATTCCAAGCTCCTCACCCTATCTCTAAGGCTGAGGCCACCCACCCTGCATAGGAAGCTCATTTGGACCGCTTGTATCAGCTCAGCTCTCTCTTAATCACAACAGTCAGGTCCAGCGCCTGCACCGAGCTGCCTGTCCACCTTGCGCTCCATTTTCCCATCACTCATGAACAAGATCCCGAGATATATAAACTCCCTCACTTGGGGAAGCAACAAAGTGTTCATTGCCATGTGTACAGTATGGAAACATGTTTCCCTGTACTATGAAATTCTTTCTTTGCTATCCACCACAGATGCCAAACAATATAAATCTAAATACAAAATAGATAACAAAAAGATAAAATAGAAAAAAAACACAAATTAAATTAAATTAAAAAAGACAAATAAAGGCAATATACTGTACAAAATAAGAAGTAGTGCAACATCAGCTGTGTATGCAATGGTCAGCGAGTATGTGCAATAATCAGCAACAATGTGCACTAAAAATCGTAAATAGTACTGAGGTAGTCCATGATCAGGTCACCAGATGAACAGTGTCCCCATGTCATATTTCATGAGCTAGATCAACAGATGACTGGAGGAGCAGCTGTTTGTGTACAGATAGAAGAGGAGGGAGGAAGGCATACAGTCTTGACAGAACTCGTGCTGATGGTCAGGGGGCCTAACACATGTTTCCCCAGTTTCATGTACTGCCTATCGTCAGTAAAGAAACCTGTGATCTACTTGCGGTGGAGTGAAGCACACTAAGCTAGAAGAGCTTGTCCTGCAGCAGATCTGGGTTGACTGTGTTAAAGGTCCTACATTCCTGAATGAATGTGTAGGCGCTGGAGGATGAAGATGAGGACCACGTGAACACCATTGTCTACAAACTTATTTGCCATATTGGCAAACTGAAGAGGGTCCACTGTGTTTGCGACAGCTTATATATAAAGGGTAACTGACACGGCTGCTATAAAATTATGTGAATCAACTGCTTTATTTGCAGAGACTCAGACATCAGCAGCTCTGTTGGAGGCCTGAAACTCCAGCTAAAGGACTATGATACTGGTATGGAATCAGGAGATGACCTGGAAGAGGAGGACTTCAGTGTGTGAGTGGAAGTGCTGGGATATAATAACCAGTTTGATTATGTGAAATATTTTAACCTGCTCTTCTTGTTATGGTAAATAACTGAGGTGTTTGTTTTTTTTTACATTTCTTAAGCACAACTCCATTTGGTATGCACACCACCAAATGTATCCAATAAAGAGTGTTACTAGTTAACATAATAAAATACAGTATGTTTAATTATGGTCTCATCTATAGCTTGTTTCCTTCCATTGTGGATGAGCAAGAGCGTCTGAGCTACAAACAGGAGTTTGACCGGGATCACCATGAGTACAAAGGCCTGCAGGCTGAACTGGACAGCTTTAACCAGGAGTTAGCTGACATGGACAGAGAGCTAGACCGACACCCTGAGGGCAGTCCACAGTTTCTGGTGAGGCGGCTGTGCCACTTTGAGTTTTTTTCCTTTGAAGTGAGGTTGGCCAGTCTTCCTTTAGTTCACTTGTCAATGATCCATGATCAGAGATGGCAAAAGTACTCACATTCTTTACTTAAGTAGAAGTAGAGATACTTGTGTAAAAACAGACTCTGGTAAAAGTAGAAGTACTGATTCAACTCCTTTACTCAAGTAAAAGTAACAAAGTACAGGTTCAGAAATTTACTTAAGTACAAAAGTAAATGGTAAAAATGAATATTTAGCTTCAATGATACATGATGTCTCTTTTAATAACTCTGCAAAACGAAGAAAGTTTTAAGCACACAAAATAGGATTGTTTTCATCCTTTAAGAACCTGCACAGTGCTGGTACAGAGAAAAACATCACTAGACAGTTTTCCATTTCAGCAACATTATAAACATTAAACAATATAATCAACATGGAAACACTCATCTTCTCAAGACTACCAAAATCTTTTATTGAGCCTCAGTAGAAGCTGGTTCTCACAGTTCTTGCCCTTTTGGGTCTGAAAATCAGTCCTTCAGTGTTAAAAGCCTCTGGCAGGCAGCTGAGACAGGCAGGGGTGTGTTGAGCTTCAGTGACAAATTGCACATTGCTGGGAAAGATAAAGACTTTTGTTGTTTTGTCTTTTACGTCATGTCGTCATCCGCGGAGGTTGAACCAAGCAACATGCCAGTTTTGAGAATGTAAGGAGTAGAAAGTACAGATATTTGTTTTCAAATGTAGGGAGTAAAAGTAAAAAGTCGTCAGAAAAATTAATACTCAAGTAAAGTACAGACACCTGCAAAATCTACTTAAGTACAGTAACAAAGTATTTTTACTTTGTTACTTCCCACCTCTGTCCGTGATTATGCCTACAAATTAGAATAGCGTTCAAGTAAGGATGATTAATTGGTCAGATAATGACAACATCCATTCATCATCTATACACTGCTTAATCCTCACTTGCACAGGGGGGCTGGATTCTATCCCAACTGACTCAGGGTGAAGGCAGGTTCACCTGGACAGGTCACCAGTCTATCACAGGGCTACACAGAGAGACATGCAACCAAGCACATTCCCATTCCCACCTACAGACAATTTAGAATCACCAAATCACCTCAACAAGTTTTTGGACTGTGGGAGGAAGCTGGGGAGCCTTGAGAGATCCCACGCTGCACAGGGAGAACATGCAAACTCCACACAGAAAGATCCCAGGTGTCCTAACAGGGCGCGAACTGGGGATCTTCTAGCTGCGAGGCGACGGTGCTAACCACTGAGCCACCTTGCAGCCCCATAATGAGAACATCTTCAGGAAAATGATTCACATTTAACCTTTGGCCATCGACTGCAGGCAAAAATACATTAAACTGTTCTTGGCAATCTATAAAAAAACATGTTGCTTTTTTCCCTATCAGGATTAAACTAGTGTGTACAATACATTTAGTTTAGAACAGAGTTTCCTATGCCAGACCATGAATAGAGGTGGTGTAATTTGCAGAAGGTTTTGCAGGAGATTTACAGAAGTGATATATTAAAGTTTTCTTCATTGCCATTTACACTCATTAAACTGTGGATTTCTCTACTGCTACTGAAAATACAATGATAAAGGTTTAGCAAAGGTGGACCAAAAACAAGGTGAAATGGCTTGGACTCTTTTGTTTAGCATAAAAGTTGTGAATTTTTGAGTGGTCACTTGAGAATAATAACATTTTTTTCTAATCTCAGGATGTCATGAATGAATACACCAGGCTGAAGAATCTAAAGAAGGTAAGGCATATATTCAGATTTTCAGCACTGTTGTTCCATACAGTGAACTACAGTTGCCTTAAAATAATAAAGAGATGATGTGATAAAATCAAATTCTTTAAATTCTTAATTGAATCATTATGTACCTTCTACAGTCATCAAACTACCAGATTAAGAAGAAGAGGTGTAAACATCTCAGGTCCAAACTGTCACACATCAAGAGAAAGATCATTGAATATGACCGCCGACCTTGAACCTTCACCTGCGACCCCGTTCATGCAGAGAACAGCACAAATCTGCAGTTTCCCACCCAGCTGTTTTTATTGTGTGAGTTTATCACTAAAGTATTTGTGATTACTATGGTGGTAGCCCCTTGCCATTTATTGCTTCTTTTTTTTTTAAAAATCAGCTGATCTGGATTTTCCACAAGGAAAGGGGTGAATAAAATGTGCATTTTTTTTAATGATTGTCTTTGACCAACTCTGATACCTCTCTTAGCTACACAAAGGACTATTTTTAATAACAATGAATATGTATAAAATGCATTGTTTTTTTTTGTTTGTTTTAAGAAGGAGATGTAATGTGAGAGGTTTTCATAGTGTCTTTTATAGCTTTAAAAATAGACCAAAACAAGTTTGGCAGTTTCATGTAAAATGAAGGCACAGCTAAGATGAGACATGAATGTGTTGGCATCCTAAGGTGACTCCCCTTCCAATGTAAAAATAATGTTTATTTGTAACTTTAAAATTATTGTGGTCAAGCCTTTCTGTACTTTTCTGCTACTTTCCATAAAATTGTGTAACTATTACGGTGTTTTCTCATGGTGGATATTTAAGGAAAAACCTACATGTAACTAAGTCATTGATGCTCCGTGTGCTAGTAAATTTTGTCTATAACTGTCATTTCCTGTAAATAATTTCATTTCCACATTATTCAAAGGCAAAATAAACAATCATACCACTTTGTCAGTTTCTTTGAGTTGTTCCTATTTTGTGCTGATAGCAGCGTTTCCCGTGAGCTGGTGGAACAGAATATACCAGTAATATGCTGCCACTGCCTACAGTTTGCTCACTTCCATGAGAGCTGAACATCACAATTGCTATGCTAATCGTGCACTCGTTAACTATAGTCGATGCGATTCAGGTCGACCGACAGCTGCTTGGATAGTTTGCTTGGCGTACACGTTTCCTTCCGGAAGACATTTCTTGTTGCACCAACAGAAGGCGCCGTGCTGCTCTTGTGTTTGTAGCGAGTTTAGGTGGATAAGTGAGCTGTGTGGTAGTAATGAAGTGGAAGGACCCGGATACGTCGTTGTAAGACGCCTCGGGCTGACTGAAGCTCCTCAGAGAACCGCTAACGAGCTGACTAGTTATCAGCTAACTAACTGACTAGCTGCAGCTCACTAGCTGATAGCTGCTGAAGTGACAGGACGCCGTTGGTCGACGCTTCACGGCGGCGTGTGTCGGCTCACTGGCAGCGGGTCGGACGCGGTGCTGGTCAGTTACTGAGTCTGTCATTAGTTCACATTTATAGCCCAGAATGTTTTTTGACGTCCATTGTCCCTTTCTGGGTTGAAAACAGTATGTTTATTCGCTTCTTTTGTACAGTTTGCGACACAAATAGCGGCACGTTGGTCAAGGTTTAAATAATGTGCTGTTATTAGTGACGACGCCTGAATTAAAAGTTGTGTTTTGACCAAGTGTAATGCCAAAGTCCGTTCAGTGTACCTGCAACGGAAGAATTTGTAACTTATTTTTTCTTTACTGTCGACTTTGTAGACCATAATTATTTAGGAATCAATAGTGTATTCTGTAATACTGCATTCGGAAAATCAATAATTATCAGTTCTATTGTGCCTGCACTACAAATGCGCAGTTTTGTTTCCCGGTTCTTCGGCTGGTAGTGTTGAACTCCCTGCCGGCAGAAGCCATGGATGAAGAACCAGAAAGGGCTAAGCGCTGGGAAGGAGGCTATGAGAGGACATGGTGAGCTGGGGCACTGTGGAGGGACGGGTCTTGTCATGGAGCTTGTTTAGCAGCTCTTGTGTCTTCCAGGGAGGTGTTGAAGGAGGACGAGTCTGGCTCCCTCAAAGCCACAGTGGAGGAGATCCTCTATCAGTCCAAAAGGAAAAGGTGTGTGTTAGAATGACTGGATGAACAATTACTTGTTATTCTTAAGCTTACTAAAACACACATTGCTAGTGTTTTGTGTATTCTTACTCAGATATGTAATGATGTAATTGAGACCCATTGGCTGCTATTTGAGTTAGAAATAAAGCATTGTAAGGTAATCTGTATGGCACCTACAAGAACAATGTCATTTTCTCTCACATGCTTCACTTTGCGTACCTCAGGGTGATAGAAAGCCATGGACAAGTAAGGCTGGGAATGGTGAGTAAGTTCTGAATCCTCCCTAGTGGAGAAGCAAATTTTAAACAGTTTTCTGGAACCAAAATACAGTCAATGTTTTTATATGCTGGTGAAGCTGTTTGCTAACCACTGGCTCTTAATGTTGGCTGGAAAATTGGCTCAGTTACAGTGATTAAATTGTTCGATGTACTTTCACAATTTTACAAATTATACCTTTTAAAATTACTGTTCAGTGATTGTCCCCACAGAAAGTATTACACGCAGAAAGCAAGCTGTGGTCTTCCACAGCAACAAAACTGTAACATTATTAATATTTTTGCAGTGGTTTAATATAAGAAAAGTCCTCATACCTGATCTACCATATGGAGTGAATGTTCACTGTAGTTGGCATTCCACAAATACTGTCACAGGAACAGGATTTCAGTTTTAAAGATTATCATCAGACAAAAATATAAAGATAAAAAAAGAAAATAACTGATACAAAACTCTTGTTTTACAATATACTGGTAACATACAAGTTATGAGTAGCACAGCAGCACATTACTTATGACTTGTTCGTTTTGTTGTAGATTTGTCAAAAACATTGCAGTTTCAAGGCACCAATATGATGTATGACTGTTGCACCAAGAGCATTGGCTCTTCACTGTTAAACTGATCTGTTTGAAAGGCACTGGAATGAAAAACATGTTGGTTACAGAATACTGCACTTCACTCTCCCTTAATCAAGTGTAGTGTAGAAATTAGTGTGTTTTGTAATCAGGAAAATAGAATGTCATGTTTTATTAAAAATGTCAAGACATTAAAAGTTGTGCTGTGGTCTAGATGCGTCACCTTTTTGTGGTGATTGACTGTTCACGCAGTATGGAAGACCAGGATTTGAAACCAAACCGCCTCACCTCAACTCTAAAGGTAAACTCAGGGTTAGACCCATCACACACTACACCTGCAACCATATGCTATGACTGTTTGTAAAGCACCATCTCCTTTCTTCTTTCTTCTACAGCTGATGGAAGCATTTATTGATGGGTATTTTGACCAAAATCCCATCAGTCAGGTATGTCTCTGAGTTCTGTGCATAGTGTACACCAAGCTGTAATAAAGCTTTACACTCATATTCCATGCTTTATTAGATTTTTTTGGAGACAAAAAATCATATTCAATACAAAAGTGAGTGTAGGTCTGGTATTGTAGGGTTCCCAAATAGTGTTGACAGTGTCAATACTGAAACAGTACAACAGCAAACATGTGAATGCATCGAGAGAAGTAATGGAATAGTAGATGGCAGAACATAGAAGATAAAATGTATTTATTAATATAGAGAAGGACTGATAGCTCCCCTGCCTTTGCCCTGAGTCAGCTAATAGACTCCAGCCCCCTGCGACCCTAGTGAACATTAAGAGGTGTTGTTACGGCTTTGCAAACAGCTAATCAAAGAACAGTGATGGGCAAATCAATATATAACTATACTATAAGCCATCTGTAACTTAAGACATCTTACAGTCCTCCTTGCCCTTGCCTTTGCCTTTCTTGCTACTCTTCTTCTCATCCTTTCCTGGCTGTGGTGCCTCTTGGTTGCTGACCACTTGAACTGGACCCTTTGGTAAATCCACATCTTCACCGTGCAGCTCATGCCTGACAGCATCTAATCCTTCCTCTATTAGTGAGCATACAGTTTGTTTGATGTTCTCTGCAGCCACACCTAACCCTCCAACATTCGACACCTCCCCTTCCTCTGCTACGAGCCCTGGATCATCTGCTACACCCGCTTCTTCTTTAGGTTTGTCTTCCTGCTCTTCACAAACATTTTCCACCTCTTCACATGTGGCTTCTACATTAACCAAAGAAGGATTTGAGTTTTCATCTAGTGCATCGACGTGGTTATCCCCATCAACTGTACACTTGTCATCATTGCTTTCAGCTGGCTTGACTTGTGTATTTTCATTTGGCTGAGTTTTACTTTGACACAGCCCCGAACTACCACTGACCGTTTCATACGACACGACTTCAGCTCCCACCTCGAGCTCTTCCTGTTCAGAGTTTTTGGAAAGTTCTGATTCTATAGCTGCTTCCATGTCCATTTCATCAAAATCAAAAGACATCCCTTCCTCGTCTTCACCGTCGTCTTCATCGCTGAGCAGCTGGGTGGGTCGAGATAAATCACTGTTCTCATGTTTGTCTTGGCTGTCATTCGGCTGCTCATCCAAAGAACAAAGAGATGACTCACTCTCCTTAACATGTTGACTGTCTTTATGTTCTGAGTCTTGTGGAACACCTGTCTTCTGCTTGATGCCAGAACCACTCTGAGACTGTGGTGTATCTAACATGGCATTAGTATTGATCGCCTCTGTTTTGTCTTTAGCTTTTGATTCTTCAACCTCATCTATGTACTCTGATATTTTGCTTTCCGCATTATCCAACTGTTAGTCCTGCACTGCAGCCTCAACACTCCCTCCAGAGTCCAACACCTCTGTGGTACTTGTTAATGACGACGTTTTGTTACCGTCGCTTTTTTCATAGTGCGACGAGATGTCTGGTTCAACTGAATCTCCAGGTTCCTTCAAGTCACCATTCAGCTCCTCACTTCCTGTTCTGTCTTGATAAAAGCCTTCTTGTTCAGTCTCGGCTCCTGCCTCGCCATCATCTGCGACTGCCTCAGCTGCCTCTTCAAGAGTTTCATCAGTATCCTTCCTGGGAGGTTCATCGCTGCCCAATTCGATGGCTGCAGGTGAATCTGATTCAGACGAGCTCTTTAAATCCTCATTGAAGTCCTCAGTGGATGGCAGTGAGACGGACGCGTTATCTTTACTATCAGGATTGTTTATGGATTCAGATTCATTAGCAGCAACATCATCATTGCTTGATTCAGCTTCAGTGTTTTCTTTGCTGCTTGTTTCAATGCCATTTTCAGGCGTATCAGCTGTGTACTCAGATTTCATCTCATCAACAGACTCAACTTCTTCAACAATTTCTGAGTTTGTATGGGGACTTCGCTTTCATAGTTATCTAGACTTGAGATTGTCTTTGTATCAAGGCCATCAGTGCTCTCTGTATTGTTAGAGTTTAAGTCAGATTTGCAAAGGTTGGTTTCAGAATCACAACTGGGTATAGACCGCCTTTATTATTATTCTTCTTTCTCCATTTCTGATGTTTGTTTACCATCTTCTTTTCTTTTTTTTTTTTATTGTGCACGTATGATGTGAATACATGAATGACATCCTCATATTGTCCATACGCTGTTGCAGAGCAATCTGATCAATGACATGACAAGCAACATTACAAATGTGCATCAAAAACTTTATATATAACTAGTGCAGTATAATTTACAGTTAACATTTTAGATTCTCATCTTTCCACAAATAAAGTTTTTTTTTTTTTTTCCTGTTGTTGCACAAATGGCATCAAAGACAAGACTCCAATAATATATGTACTTGCATCTAGCAAGTGCTGGGAAGTCTTTCGCCCTTGTTACGCAATGAAGACCTGCCAACTGACGACAGTGTTTTCATTGGGTCCTGCGTGATTGGCCTGACTCCGCTCATCTGCCCTGGCCCAATCCACAATCGGCAACGGCACACTGAAATTTCCATAATAAAAAAAAAAAACACACAACAAAGAAGGAAGGGCCGGCAGCCGTAACAGGTGTATAGATGATGGATGGATGTATTGTTAGCTTGTACTGTAAGATGGTTTAGAGGTAGGTAACTGCTGTTGTAAATGGATGAGAAAGCAGAGATACTAGGGTGTTCCTTTAGTAATATTTATGAATTCCCACAAATAAGTGATCGTAGGGGTAATTCAACAACAACAACAAAAAACACACCAGTCTAACAGACCTAACACTAATTAATATACATTTTATTACCAAAAAATGCCACCAATTACCAAGTCATTGGTATCGCAAAAATGCATGACCATTAACTTAGGCTCTGTGTTGTGGGTGAGCTCATAATGACTGTTGACTGTTCGCAAAATAATGCCATATTCTGCTTTGTGAATCTATTTTTTGAATAATCTGTTGGCAAGAGCACTTGTTTTTGTAGCCATGCCTCTTACTTTGTCAGCATTAAAGCTGCAATGTGACTATGAGAGGTGACAAAAGTGGTTGGTGCACCAGTCAAGAGTTTGGACATACCTTCTCATTCAATGGTTTTTATTTATTAATTTTTTTTCCACATTGTAGATTAATGCTGATGACATCAAAACTATGAAAGAACACATGGAAGTATGTAGTAAACAAAAAAATGTTAAACTAACCAGAATGTGTTTTATATTTTAGATTCTTTACAGTAGTTCTGTTTTACTTGACAGCTTTGCACACTCTTGGCACTCTGTCAGTTTCATGAGGTCGTCTCCTGGAATGGTTTTCCAACAGTCTTGAAGGACTTCCCAGAGGTGTTGAGCACTAAGACACAGCACTTGGAACCAGAAATCTCAAATTTGGACTCATCAGACCAAAGCACAGACTTCCACTGATCTAATGTCCATTCCTTGTGTTTCTTGGCCCAAACAATTCTCTTCTTCTTCTTGTTCATCCTCAGTGGTGGCTTCTTTGCAGCAGTTCGACCATGAAGACCTGATTCACGCAGTCTCCTCTGAACAGTTGATGTGGAGATTTATCTGCTACTTGAACTCTGAAGAATCTATGTAGGCTGTAATCTGACGTGCTGTTAATTTGCGGTTTCTGAGGCTGGTGACTCTAATGAACTTTTGAACTCTTGGTCTTCCTTTCCTGGGGTGCTCCTCATGAGAGCCAGTCTCATCAAAATGTTTGATTGTTTTTGCAACTGCACTTGAGGATACATTCAAAGTTCCTGTAATTTTCCAGACTGACTGACCTTCATGTTTTAAAGTATTGATGGACTGTTTCTCTTTATTGAGTTGAGTGGTTCTTGCCATGCTGTGGATTACAACAGTAGTCAAATAGGGCTATCCACTGTGTACTAACCCTACCTCTGCACAACACCACTGATGGTCTCAGACACATTAAGAAGGCAAGTAATTCCACAAACTGACTCTTGACAAGGCACACCTGTTAATTGAAAACCATTCCAGGAGTTGACCTCATGAACTGACTGAGAGAATGCCAAGAGTGTGCAAAGCTGTCATCAAATCAAAAGGGGCCTACTTTAAAGAATCTAAAATATAAAACATTCTGGTTTGTTTGACAGTTGTTTACTACATAGTTCCACATGTGTTTTTTCATAGTTTTGATGTCATCAGCATTAATCTACAATGTGGAAAATAAATAAAAGAAATAAAAACCATTGAATGAGAAGGTATGTCTAAACTCTTGACTGGTGCTGTCAGATGTAATTTGTCAGCATTTAGCTAGATTATTTAGACAAACCAGTAATCACTCTTATCTCATAAAATCAACCATGTTAAGTGACTCATAATGACAACAGACAGTTGTAAAGTTATGCCTGGCTGCATACTGGACGTTAAGCAGGCTGCTCATGCTGTTTGTGACCTTACTTCATGAATTGCATATTTTCAGGTGGGCGTTATCACCACAAAGAACAAAAGGGCTGAGAAGCTGACTGACTTGGCAGGTGAGGATCATGTAAAGTGCTCATGTTACCCCTCAGAGGAATGCTTTACATTTGACTTTCAACACATTTTTCTGTAGATAATGTCAAATTGACATCTTTAAATCACAACAATATTGTGGCATTAATATGCCATGTGTCTCCTTTGTAAATAGCGGTGAGCATCACCCTGTGTCATGTGTTCAAATATTTCACTTCTCATCAGCTGTGACCTATAGCTACCAGTCTGTGATATAATGCACATTCAGTGTAAAGTGATATGTTTTGTTTCACCATCAGGAAATCCAAAGAAGCACATTGCTGCACTGAAGAAGGCAGTGGACACTGTGTGTGTAGGAGAGCCGTCCCTGTACAACTCTCTGAACCTGGCCATACAAACCCTGAAGTAAGTTCAGCAGTGTCTACAGTGCCTATAAAAAGTTTTCACCCGTCTTGAAAAATGTCCCTTTTTGCTGCTTTTCAACATGGAATCATGGTCAATATCATGTGACTTTTTTTTGACAAGAATTTACAAAAAAAAAAAAACAACAACACTTTCCTATCAAAGTGAAAACAGATTTCTATTTCTGGAGAAATCACTGTTACCACTGCGGGATAACATTGGCAGTTCCATCCATCCATCCATCCATCCATCCATCCATCCATCCATCCATCCATCCATCCATCCATCCATCCATCCATCCATCCATCCNCCATCCATCCATCCATCCATCCATCCATCCATCCATCCATCCATCCATCCATCCATCCATCCATCCATCCATCCATCCATCCATCCATCCATCCATATCCTCATCCTCATCCTCATCCTCATCCTCATCCCGCTTATCCGGAGTTGGGTCGCGGAGGCAGCAGCCTTAGCAGAGCCGCCCAGACTTCCCGATCCGCACACACCTCCGCCAGCTCTTCCAGGGGGACCCCTAGGCATTCCCAGGCCAGTCGAGAGACATAACCTCTCCAACGTGTCCTGGGCATAGACTGTATAAAAGATGGACGTAGCTACCATGATGTCACCCGTTGGTTTCTGCACTGAGAAAATGAAGCCAGGATTTTGCTGCTTCCTGGTTGACATCTTGGATTTTTGGAGCCAGTGACGCAAAAATCATCGGAGGGGAGGGCGGAACCATAGGAGCAGTGATTGGTCAGACGGATTGAGAGGCAGGCCCTCTCTACCCGCCCACATTTACCGCCTTCTGCTCGCTTCGTCTGATTCGTCGCTGTTGATAGTCAATCAAGCCAGCCACGCCCATTGCCCCGCAAAATTTTGACGATTTTTTAAAAATTCAGTATTGATTTATTTTCAGATTGGCCACCTGATCTCTGAATTTGACTATGAAAACTAATTTAAAAAAAATCCTGAGCTGTATGCGGTATTTCGTGATCTGTGATCACTTCTTTTCTAATTCAAGTCTATGGGAGCCAGGGCTTTTTGGAGCCAGCAACAAGTGGACATGGTGATATTGCAGGTTTTTGACACTTCCGGGTTGGCTTCATTTTTCAGGGCTGGTTGCTACGTCCATCTTTTATACAGTCTATGGTCCTGGGTCTTCCCCGAGGCCTCCTCCCAGTGGGACACGCCCAGTAGGCATCCAAAAAAGATGCCCGAGCCACCCCAGCTGGCTCCTTTCGACGTGGAGGAGCAGCGGCTCTACTCCGAGCTCCTCCCGCGTGACTGAGCTCCTCACCCTATCTCTAAGGGAGTGCCCAGCCACTCTGCGGAGGAAACTCATATCGGCCACTTGTATCCGCGATCTTGTTCTTTCGGTCATTACCCAGATCCCATGACCATAGGTGAGAGTTGGGACGTAGATTGACCGGTAAATCGAGAGCTTTGCTCCTTGCTCAGCTCTCTCTTCACCACGACGGTCCGGGACAGCGACCGCAACAATGCAGACGCTGCACACGTCTGTCAATCTCACGCTCCATCCGCTCCTCACTTGTGAACAAGACCCTGAGATACTTGAACTCGTCCACTTGAGCCAAGGACTCTCCACCGACATGGAGAGGCCTTGCCTCCTTTTTTATATTTTGTTTAAATCAAATCAAGTTTATTGTCGTTTTGCTGTACGTACAACAGTAGTACAAACAAGATTAGAATATAAAATGAAAAATTTGTGTTTAGTACATAATTATACACCCCTTGAAGTCAGTATTTACTAGAGGCATCTTTGGCTGCAGTTACAGCATTGAGTCTATGTGGATCAGGCTCAATAATGCAAGGCTGATCTGGACACTGCAATCTGCAATCATTCTTCTTTGCAAAACTGCTCGAGCTCTGTCAGATTACAAGGGAATCATGACTGAGCAGCCCTTATGGGGCGGCTGTGGCTCAGATAGTGGAGCAGGTTGTCCACTGATTTCAAGGTTGGCAGTTCGATCCTCATCCCCTCTGCATGCCGAAGTGTCCTTGGGCAAGACACTGAACCCCAAGGTGCTCCAGATGGCAGGCAGACACCCTGCATGGCAACTCTGTCATCATTGGTGTATCAATGTGTGCGTGAATGGTAACTTTGAGTACCACTAAGGTAACAAAGCGCTCGCTACGTAAGTGCAGGCCGTTACAATTGACCATTTTCAAGCCCAGCTACCAATTCTCAATTGGATGGAGGTCTTGGCTCTGACTTGGCCACTACAGAATATTCATCTTGTTGTCTTTAAATCATTTCTGTGTAGCTTTGGTTGTTTGCTTTGTGAACATCTGCCTTGCTGGAACAGAAATCTTCTCCCTATTTGCAGTTCTCTTGCAGACTTCATCAGGTTGTCCTTCAGGATTTGTCCATACTTTGCTACATTCATTTGCCCTTCTACCTTTACAAGCCTTTCAGGGTCTGTTGTCCTGAGGCATCCCCGCATTATGATGCTGCCACCACCATGCTTCACAGTGGGATGGTGCATTTGTGATGATGCGTATTGTGTCGTGTTTGCCAAACATTGTGTTTAGTCTGATGGCCAAAATACTCAAGTGGAAAAAGCTGTGTTTTAGTCTGTTGGTATGGGCTCTCATGACTTTGAGTCTGCCAGAGGGGAGGATGGTAAATAGAGAGTGTCCTGGGTGGGTGGGGTCATTCTGGATCTTTGTATCCCGTCAGAGGAGACGAACCCTAACCCGCCGGAGGAGACGACTTAAGTAGATCTCCTCTAGTTGTGGGAGTGCGGAGCCAGTGATCCACTGAACCATCTTGATGACCTGCTGAAGTTGTTTGCTCTCCGATGCTGTGCAGCTGCCATACCACATTGTGCATCCATAGGACAGGACACTTTATTGTGCAGCAGTAAAAGTTTGTCACCAGAGGTGGAGGGAGTTTGTTCCTCCTCAACATTGTGAGAAAGAAGAGACGCTGCTGGGCCTTTTTGACAATGTGGGTGGTGTTCACAGTCCAGCCCAGATCCTCTGAGATGTGCAGTCCGAGAAACTTAAAGTTCATAACCTGCTCCACTTGTTCACCATTGATGCTCAGGCCTCAGCGCAATCTGGTCCTTGACGTCGAAAAGTCAATGATGACTTCTTTTGTCTTCGTGGTGTTGAGCCTGAGGTGCTTGTCGCTGCACCAGGGGCCTGTACTACGAAGCAGGATTTAGGGTTAGCAAGGTAACTTCAGGTTAAATCCTGGGTTTTCAGTCCTATGATGGTGGTTCACTTCTTACCGGGGTACACTGCCATGGTAACTAATGCTGAACGGCTAACCTGCTGGGCAGCAGGTTATGGTGGAGATTTATAGATCACTGGGTATAAACACACCTCCCACTGAAAATCAGTTCTGTCCCATAAAACTTCAGAAGGAGCAGACAACGAAGCAGTTCTTAACAAAATGGCATCAGTATTTATAGAAGACCCGCTACGCATCAGAGCGTTACGTGTGAGGGATACGGAGGGGTGTGAGGATTTCTCAGGACCTGCAAAGCCCCTTAGTGCACCCTGACGAGGGTCTCTATGGGCTCCCGTCTTCCTTCATTCATTTTTTTCCTGCCGGCTACAGACAATGTCAAAATTATTTCATATTTTTTTCCATACCAATATCACCCCAAAACAGTAAACTGATTTTAGCATTAAAGCTTGTATTTGTAAGATACGTTAATAAGCCAACACTGCTTTTAATTATTTTTTATATTTGTTCCTAATTTGTTCCCACATCCTTTTTACACTGCCAGGGTTCCAGCTGAAAGTAAAAAAATGTCAGATATGACACAAGTATATACATTAGGCAACAAATTAATTAAAGGAATCATCAGATGTGCTTATTGTCTGATATGTGCCTTCATGATGGAGCAGTGATTATAT